CTAGCCACTTTGGCTCATTTGACCCAGTGTACATTTACCCCACCTCCACCCTCCCAAGACATGTCTTCTGTGTCTCTCAAGCCCTGGCATGAGAGAGGAGACCACACATGGTGGCCCAAATAGACAGTGCGGTTTCCACATCCTGAAATGATCTGCCCCTTGGAGGTGAAAAAATTGTAGTGCTGGCAGATAAGTCATGGGAGAGATGCAGGAGGTGTTGTTCCGAAAACCCAGAGGGCATTGGCAGGTTTTTAAATTTGTATTGAGCACCTCAGGCTCTGTTTACTACAGAAAGCAGTTTAGGAATTCATAGATTAGTGTTTCATCCACTGAGAGGGTCGACTAATGAAATATACATGGGTAGTCAGCATGAAGACTTCGTTGTGCGTTTACTTTATTTGTGCCTATTCTCTTATTTTGGAGGGAATTCCAGAAAACACTTCGGTTACATCCAGAGAATCCTTTGGATTGGCCAGAGCCAGTGAAATGAGTCTGTCTTATTCTGGAGAGGAAATTAGATAGCCTTTCTTAGGAGGCAATTCCAGAGAAAAAATTCCTAACCAGAGTACTGTTCTCAAAGTCTTACAGTTGCTGGAGCTTTTCTTTTGTATCTTTTATCACAGTTGAAATTCTCTGTGTTTTATTAAGATCAGTCTCTCCTCTGAGATTTTTTTGCTCAAAGAGGCAGAAACTTTGGGTTCTTGTCTGCATCTCTTGCACCTGGGATAGTGCTTGGCACACCCTCAGTGCCCAGTGTGGAAGAAATCATGTGGGAAAGGGGCTCTTGTCTGGCTTAATTCAAAGAGTCCACAATGGAAAGGCTGTATGTCACCCTCCGTTTCCTCGGTGACGCACATGGAGGTAAGTTTCAGTAAAGGTACAGAGACTGGTTCCCAGTTCTCCTTGGACACCCCACCCTCAGATAGTCGGCCCCCAGCTGGGGAGGCTCGGCAAAGCCATGCTCCCCACTGCGATGCTCCCAGGTACCTTTGCATGTTTTCTCATGGATGCAGTCCTGACACATCTCTGGGCAGCGCTTGCACATCCCCTCCACAGCCACGTGCCTCTTGGGGCAGGTCTCCCGGCATGCCCCCTGGTCCAGAACAAGGCCCCCTTCACACGAGTGGCAGTAGGTGGCATTTCCCTCGCATGTTCTGCAGGAGGAGCTGCAGCGTTGACAAGTGCCGTCTTCTGCATAGAAGCCCCTGGGGGGGAGAAGAGAGAGCCCCTGGAGAAGCTTTCCAACTAGGGCAGTGATTCATACCTGGCAGCCAGGAGTTAGGACTGAGAGCGGAGGGGCCGAGGCTGTTGTTGACCAAAGTGAATCCATCAGATACCCTGGGAAAGTACGCTGAAAAGCCAGTCTGGAAAAATAAATTGAAACCATGGCTATTATCCTTGTGAGTTCGGTGTGTTTGAAAACAGCTTTTAATTTGTGTATCATTTAGTCATCTTCTGATGTTCTATTTTATCTCCTAATTTTCATTTTTTTTCTTTTTTTGGTTAGAGCCATATGATAGAGAGAAAGCTTTTTATCCAATTTAATATGTTTTTAAATTTAAAAAATTTTAAATGTAACTGTTAAGATTTTCTTAGAAGGCTCAAACGTTTAATCACCTATAACATTTTTGTATGTGGAAGGAAAGGAACGCCCTTGGAGTAATCATCTGAAACACGGGGACCACCTTTGCCCACTGGAGTGTGGACACCTCCCTTAGAGCCACCACAGCCACTGACTGGCCTTTGGGTGAAGACCACTGAGAAAATTGTTGTGGGATCCCCTTTAACCACTTTTGTTCCTCATGCAGTAGAAGCTCTCCTGAATTCTCACAATACTCAGCATTTCTCAGTCAGCCGCCGCCTCACCTCCCATGAAGTCTTTCTGTTAACTGCTCCTCACCTGTTTTATGTTGTAATAACCTTAACCTGGCTGCTCTTCTCCCCTCCATCACTGAGGCCGTACTTCACAACTGCTTAACGTGGATGGGCCACCTCCCGATTCCCAGTAGTGATCTACAGGGAATTCCTTGGGTAACACTGACTTCTCATGGTGAAATGATGGTTCACTGATGGCCTTATTTAGAAAGGTGACAATGGCAAGTACTGTGCTAGGTATGTTGTTATACTTCCTTTTTGGTGGTGTTGAGGCAGCCTCTTACCCTATGGCTCTGTCAGACCAGCAGGCTGAATTACATGCTCTTGCACTGGCTTGTATGTTAGCCAAGGACAAAACTGCCTGTATTTATACTGATAGTAGATGCTTTCAGAGCAGCTTATGGTTTTGGAATTTTGTGGAAGCATTGTAACTTCCTTACTATCAGGGGAAATAAAATCTAATATGACTTCTGTGTTCAGGAATTAGTGAATACCAACATTCATCTGTCACCATAGCGCTTAAGAGTCCAGGACTTCTAAACTTGACTTGCTGGAAGCTAAAGGAAGCCACCTTGCTGATATTTCTCCAAGGAATACTTCCATTAAAGGAACCAACAGCAACCAAATGATATTCTATGGTATTATTTCTCAAATGATAATTTAGAAAAAATTGACCACAGAGGCCCAACATTTGGCCTCAGAAAAGGAGAAACAAGTTTAGAAATTGAACAATTGTTGGTTTGATTAAAAATACAAAGCTCCAGTTTGGACCACGTAACAAGCCAGTCCTGCTGGGGACTCTCAAATTCCCTCCACTCACCACTGTGCATGCATCAAACCTTCAGTCTATGACAGAATGAGAGCCTCCATGAATCAGTGTTGGTGAGGAAACGTTAACAAGGCCACACAAAATGTTTACCTCACGTGTCCGAAGTACAACCCAGGGAAGCCTGTTCATACTGATCACTGACAGTTTAAACTACCTAATGGACCATTCGAGGTCTGGTAAAAAGAGTTATATACAACTTCCTCTGTCTAGTGGGTGTAACCTATGTTTTTAGTTATGGTCTGTGTATTTTCGCACTGGGCTGAAACCTTCCCTTGCTGGTAGGCTGCTGCCTTTTCTGTGGCTAAAATCCCTGTGGAAAAGATTATCCCTACTTGGAACTGCTCTTGAACTTCATTGTGATTGAAGAACCTGTTTTTACTGGCCAGGTGCTTCATCCAGCCTGCACCGTTTGACCAGTTTTACAGCACTTCCACTGTGCCCATCACCCTCCACCCTCTGGTTTAGTTGAATGCACTAATGGCATTATTAAGACTCAGCTGGCAAAATTTGTAGAGGTGCTCCAAATGCCTTGACCAAAAGCATTGACAGTGGTCCTTCTAAATCTCAGATCCACCCCTTTTGGAATTCATGAGCTCTCACCGTTTGAGATAGTCACAGGATAGATTACACTTGGCTCCTGCTTCTTTTGACCCTCAAGTGATAAAAGGAGAGATACTCCAATATCGCAAGGGCCTAATTGCTTCTATTAAAGATAACCATGCTTTGGTAGAGCAATATTTTCATAGACTAGCCCTGGGAGATGAAGCCCTTCATCATACCTTGCAGCCTGGAGATTTCATCTGTTGGAAAGGATACCTTCAGAAGAACTTTCTTTAACCTCATTGGAAAGGCCCCTGCTGGATACTGCTAACCAACCGCTGTGCTGCCACACTCCAGAGTACAGACTCTTGAATTCATGTGAGGAGCCTAAAAAAACCACCAAACCCTCCCTGGAGCTATGCATCATCTGACCTGAAAGTAAAGATTTCCCAGAATTGAAGCAGATGACATCTGATGAGATAGATTTCCCAAATTATCTGAATGAGGCCTGTTGGAAGTTGTTGCTAAACCTTTTATGACATTTTCAGATAAAACTCCAGTGTCTATGATCTATATAACATACAGACTTTAGATAAAAAGTGCTGGAGAGTTCTCTCTCCTACCCCTCTTTGTTACTCGAATGTGACTTTAATAGGTTTCCAGTCTGTACCCATGCCCTCTGACAGGAGACACTACACCTTCACTACAGGAAAGGCCCTTCTTGACATTGAAGGACAAAAAGCTACTGAAACGAGAAAACCTGACTCTTGACAAACAGTGCTTTCAGAGAAAGATCTTGATCAAAAGGGGAAAAGGTTAAAAAAAAAAAAGTAAGCAGAAACCTCAGTTAAATAGAGTTGGGAGACCAGAAGGGGAGCTCTCACACCCTGTGACAATAGCAAAACCCAATGGAAAGAAGAAAGACTCCTTTCTTTCCAGGCAAGGACTCAGCCGCTGAGAAGCACAGACTCTGTTTACCATAGCCCTCCCAACTTCCTTTTCCTCTCTGTAAAATTGTTCTTCCTTTACCGGGCAGGAGCTTGCTCATGGCTTGCCATGTTTTCAGACCTCGAATTGCAATTCTCTGCTGATCCCAAATAAACTCATCATTGTTGGAGAAATATCTGGCAGTCTATCAATCAGGTCAACACAGGCAAACACATTTTAAGCCTCTGCAACTTTTCTGCTAACATCTCATTGGCTAAAGCAAATCAAATAACCCAGACCATGGTCAAGGATCAGGGAAGTCCATTCTGCTTCTCATGGGAGTTGCTGCTGTTACAGGCAGAGGGCATAGATGCAAGGAAAGGTGGAGAATTGCAGCAAGTAATTCAGTCTGCTAGAGTCCTCTTTGAACCCTAAAGCCAATGAGAAACCACTCTTACCCAGCATCTTTACTCGATGTTTTAATTAATTGATTATCTCATTCACACCCATTTAATCATTCTTTCAGTCATTATTTTCTTATGTTTATTTAGTAAACAAAAATGTGCTGAATGTGTCAGGGTGAATAGAAGTAAAATCTCTAATGTAGTTTTAAGTAGAAAAATTGGAGGAGAAAGCAGTCTAGGTAGCAGAGGGGGAGCTAAGTGGCATCCAGATGAAAGCTAAGGCCAGGCTTCCTCACTCATGAGTGTCCTTAGTTTTATTTTGGACCATGATGAATACTTCAACAAAGACTGTACCACTTTGTCCAATTAAGTCAATCTCTTAAAAATGAATTTGACAAGACAGTGGATAGAAATGTATTGTATGCTCATCAAGAGTTTGATTGAATTTGAGAAATTCAAAATTAAGGAAATTTAGTGCGTTCTTAAACATATCACATCTACCTGAATGGGAATTTGGTGGATTCGAGTTTCTTTATGTATAGCAAGGAATTGGCCTCTTCCAAAGAGGGGTCTGGCCTTTCTCCCTAACTAACTTTTAAATTCTTAGAATTTTCCAGGTGGTAGGAATGTCATAGGTCCCTCTGACCATACCTGAAAGTTTATGCCAACAAAATGACTCAGGGTGGGGCAGTCACACCCTATAGTTTTAGGTTAGGGATTGGCCATGCAAGAAGGACAAACCTGTGTTTAGTGATTGGTGGCTTTGGGCCATGCGATATCACCTGGCCTCTGGGGAATTTTCAGTGCTAGGCCTACTCAAGGTCTCTACAGAATAGTTTCTGGGCATTCAGGATTAGCAGTTCTAGTACAGAATTGGAAAAGATGCAACATGAAGAAATCTTTTTCAGACTCTTCTCATAAGGGAGTCAGTGTATGTCAGGTGAGATGCTGAAATGAAAGAAATGGATTCAAGCAAAAAAGGAAAAAAAAACCATTGAAGGCTACTACTAACTCAAAAATACGTGAATCTCAGAAGCTGGAGGCAGGTGGAAGGCAGCGTGAGAAGGTGTTTGTCAGGAAGCCACTTGTCTAAAGCAGCCTTCTCCACAGAGATCTGGCCAGTAATTTGTCCTGCTGTCTTCTCTGCACTTACAAGACTTTTTTGTTAATGCTTTATGTCACTGTTGTTTTTATTTAAGAAGACATATTCTTTTGAGAAGAAATGGCCACCTGTATTAAATTGTTAAATTCGAAGTACTTTATGTTGAAGTCTTTCTGTTCAGATAAATATGTATATAATGCAAAAGCTGTATGGTCTTGGAGCTTCACCTATATTTTACAGACAGCTAAGGCAGGGACAGCCAGCACTTAAAGGAAGACCATTTTTTCTTATACGAGTGCTTCAAATCTGTTCATATTTGGTGAATTTGAGCCCACTGTAAGTTTCCAGTTGCCTTTTAAACAATCACTGTCATGATATATGCTGCCACTTAAACTTTTTTCTTTTGATGAACATATACCATATTTGCAAAAGCAGTGGCCACCAATGCCAGTTTATAAATAATCTTGAGTACCTGGATGCCATTTCATTGCAAGTTGTGCTCCTGTTATACGTCTTACTGCTATTTCAGGGTGGATTGTTCCTAAATGGATGTTTTCTCAGAAACAGCAACAAAGCTGTCAAGCCAGGCTGGGTGTTAGATGTTCCTCAGACTCTATCTCCCCTGCTTTGTTTGTAAACACAAAGTCAGGGAACCGCATGGTAATCAGACCACCCTACTCAAGACAGCAGGGCACAACTTGTGCAGATTCCATAGTCTGCAGCATTTGGTCATGTTAGTAACTTCCCTGTTTCTCAAAAAATACAAAATATCTTGGCTGCCATGTATGTGCATAGTGACCCACTGCTTCGTAAGAGTGGTCCAGCCCAGATTTGGAGGAAAGAAGTGAGGAGTGGTCCACTAATTGTATGAAGGCAAAATGCATCTCTTTCTTCCACACTTTAATGCATTGTCAATTCCTGAAACATTTGATGAATCCAAGAGACAGCAGAAAGCATGGTAGTGATTAAATAAGTAAGGTGATAATAATAATGATAACCAGTTCAATCCCACCATGGCAAAGTTTAATGAAGAAGCAATAATTGACTTTGGCAGGGAGATTTATGACCTTCATCCTTGTCGTATGATAATATCTTTGCCAACTTTGCTGAGGTTGGAGTATGGTGGTTGGGGAAGGGGAGCTGTGTGTTTTCTGATTCAGTCTTGCCTTATACTCCCTTCTGCTCCCTGGTTCTCTTACCCTGAACCTTTCACTAGTAATTCTCTTTTCAAATACCCAGCCAGAGCCCTCACCCCATGTGTCACATGGAAGGGTCATGAATGGTACCTCCTGCACAGAACCATTGTGGGGCTTCTCCCCACAGTAGTCAGAGGGGCCTCTGAAGAGGGCAGATTAGCTGGAGAGGAACCTTGAAAATATTATGTTGAATAAAAGAAGTCAGTCACAATAGGTCATATTTTGTATTATTCTGTTTATCTGAACTGTTCCAAGAATAGGCAAATCTATAGAGACAAAGTAAATTAGTGGTTGCTTAGGGATGGGGGAAATTGGGAGTAACTGCTAAAAGGGTACAGAGTTTTCTTTTGGGGATGATGGAAATATTTTAGAGTCAATTGTGATAGGTGCACAATTCTGTGAATATATTAAAAACCATTGAATCGTACACTTTAAATGGTGAATTGTGTCATATGTAAATTATATCTCAGTAACGCTGTCATTAAAAAACAAAAAGCCCCAGCTGATTGAGAAGGTGGTGCTGTGCGACGGTTAATCACGTGGACTTCGGTGCTAGAGAGATTTGGGTTGAAGCCTGACCATACCATGTATTAGCTGTGTGATGTTGAGCATGCTGCACCTTTCCTCATCTATAAATGAGGGCAATGATGGTGCAGTGTCCCTCAGGATCCGCAGGAGATGGGTTTCAGGACCCGATGCGAATACCAAGATCTGCAGATACTCAAGTCCCTATATCCAAGGTTCTGCTCTCTGGATTCAACCAACCATGGATTGTGTCATACTGTATTTTTTGAAAAAAATCTGCTTATAAGTGGCCCAGTGCAGTTGAAACCTGTGTTGTTCAAAGGTCAGCTGTATCTGGATAAGAAGATTCTTGTGAGGATTGTTGCGATAGTACTTTTGAAGCCCTTCGTGCAATGCCTACGTATTGCAAGCTCTAAATAAGTAGCTATTTTTAAATGGTTTCTTTTCCCTTGGAATCCCTTTGTGTACTGAGGCCCTGAGAAGTATGACATTGATTGATGTGAACCTTCCCTACTGGGCTGTAAGCCTTTTGCAAGCCCAGAGTTCCTTTAGCTGATCTCAGTTTAGCTTCCAATATCAGTTCTTACACCCAGTTGGTGCTAAATGTGTATTTATAAAATTGAATTGGATACATTTGGCTTCCACACTAGATTGGGTGCCTCTTGAGGGTCAGTACCGTGACTTCTGTTTGCACTCTACAGAATCAATCACAGGTCATTAGAAAATAGGTGTTGTTTTTCATCATGAAGTCCTTTTAATCAGTGGGCAAATGAAACTTCTAATTCCTTTCGGTGTGGTTGGTTGCTTCCCCCAGATCATTTCTTGCCTCCCTCTCTCCACTCTTCCTGGCTGTCGGTGGTGTGATTTGTGGGTGTTCAGGGGAGAATCTTGATCATCCTTCATCAGTGCTTCTATCTCCATTCTCCTTGCCAGAGATCAGTTTAGGAAGGTGTAAGTGATGTGTCTGGCTGATGAGATGTGCAGGATAGTCTGAGGAAGTTTTCTTTCCTCTTAAGAAGAGATAAACGAGGGGAAAAGGGCCCTTTTCTGTCTCTGGTTGTTGCAGCATGCGGTGGTGATGTTGGTGGGCTCAGGAGAACAAGCTTAGGAGGACACGAGAGCAAAAATGGGGAGATTGTGGGTTGCTAGTGAAGCACTGGCCACTGAAATAACTGATACTGGATCTCCAAGCTTTTTGTTGTGTGCAGTAATGAACCCCACATTTCTTTCACTCTCTTTGATGTTTCTGTGGCTTGTCACTGAGAGTTTCCTGATGTCCTTTTCTGTCTTCTATTCCCACTGCTCATTTAGGTAAACCCTGGAGGCAGGACCATTGATGGGAAGAGTAAAGGAATTCTAAACCAGGGGACCAAGGGAGCCAGGAGGAATCAATAATTAACCAGGTATTTATTATTCATTATCTATGATTCATACCTCCCTTTCAACATTTAGAGGTTTGTGTGTTCCATGGCCCATCACAGCCTCACTTTTGTGATGGAAGAAAATCCTGACAACTATCTAATCATCAATACAAGGTACAAAAATAACATTTTCACAAAAGTCAAAATGCACACATATAAGGGTCCCCGGGAGAAGTGCACATCTGGCTGTACATAACTTTTGGCTGCTGTGGCCAACAGTGATGTCAGACAGTCAAGAAGGGAGGCTGATGTAGGTGCTCTATTCAGGGAAGGGAAGAGTTCTTTTGGGAATAGGAAGGAACTGCCCCCAAAATATTGCAGGAGAATGAACATGAGCAGCAAGTGGAAGGAGGAAGACTTACTCAGGGCACTTGCTGGCACATCTGCCTTCGTGGAGGAAGAGCGGGCGGTCTGGCTGCGTTTGGCACTTTTTGCATACACTGTCTTCGGAGCAAGAGGCACAGTCCTCTGTACAGCTCTCACAGTTGCCACTCCGTGCTGAGGGCCATGTGCCTTGGGGACAGGATGAGACGCAGGTCTGAGCCAACAGATATGTGCCTAGAAAGCCCGGGAAGAAGGCAGGTCAGATGATCATCACATATCTGATTCAACAGCATACACAGGCAGGCAGAGAACTGATACTCCCAATGGCTTTTTTTACCTGCTCTGAAGACCCAAGAGTTGGGAATACCTATTTCAGGATTACTGAAATAGCTGTCAGTGGTGCTGAGTCTTTCAGGAGGACTTAAAGCTCTAGAAAGGAAACTGACAGCAGAGGCTTTGACGTATTTCTTTGACTTTCCTACTAGTATTGCTGCGGGTCACCATGGGGCTTCCCTTTGCCCAGTCCATCAGTCTGTTAAGACGTTTGTCTGTCTTCCGAGTGTGAGGCAGTTGTACATGCCCAGCCTGATGTAATTTGTTTTTCTGCTTTCTGAAGCCTGTCCTGTACAGCACTAACAGTGTAGCAACCCTTCCGTCCAACTCTATCTTTAATGGACGGTCCATCTGTTTATTTTTAATAAAAAAAAATCAGATAACATCTTTATTAAAGAAAACAATTTGAAAATCACTCTAAACTCCAAAATTCCAAGAAAAATTCCTTCAGTTTGTGCGTGTAGACTTTATGTGTTGTAGGGGTAAAATCATGGCATATCTGTCATTTTAAGTTCTGTTGTTTTTCAGTCTCATCTCACTATTAACATTGCACATTCCAACGTAATGCCCACTTTAGTGGGAGTACAACATTCCTAATTCCTTTTCTTGTTTTGTTTTTTGAGGGGGAGGTAA